CCCCCCCCGCAGCGACCCACGCGAAGCTCGCGCCTTCGCCTCCCTCCCCCCCCAGCAAACCGGCCGTTACGGCTCCTCCCGCTGGGCCTGCAGACGCCGAGGCTGGGCCCCCCCGGCACTGCGCCACGCGGGCACCGCAGCCCCCGCGCCCTCTATCGCGGCGGGCTCCTGGGTGCCCCCGTACGCCACGCCACCCTCCCGCCCGGCCAGCCCCGCCCAGCGGGGGCAGCCATGGAGCGAGGCGCCGGGCTGTCTCCCCCGCTCGCTCACCCGCGGGCGTCGCTCTGGTGGGCCAGAGGCCTCGGGCCGCTGCCGTCCGTGGGGCAGATGGAGCCGATCGCTGCTAGGGCTCCGTCGGGGCCTTTCCGCGCACGGTTCTACTCAGCAACCCCCCGCCCCCTCCCTTCACCAAGGTTGACCCCTCCGCAGGGAGGACTTAGCACGTCGCACCGTCAACGCTGGGGGAGGGGGTGATAACCGAACGCACTGCGGGGTCTATTGGCCGCCACGCCCACCCGTCCGTCTGGCGGGAGAAGAGACGCGACCCCCCCTCCCTGTTTCCTCCCTTTCCTTACTCGCCCCTGAGTATTCAGCTCCCGCCCTCCCCTTGCCGACATTTTAATCCGATTTCCCGGCCGCTCCTCCGAGCTAACGGCGAACCCACACCACCAACATGGCCGCCGAGCGCACCCTCTCCGTCCCCCTCCCACACCCGGTTTTCTCTGCGGCTGCGCGGCGCGGAACCTTATAGGAGTTGTAGTTCTCTATGCACCCGGGGCTTGCTGCTAGACGTGGGAGCGAACTACAAATTCCAGAATGCCGCTCCGCCGATCTTAAGGGGCCAATGGGAGGCTTCCCTCCTCCTCCCTTCCCCCCCCGGCCATAGGGATGATGTCATTGCAAAACAGGCAGGGGAGGTTTCTGCACTGCAATTCATTGTGCTACGCTACAGCCTCCTCCCCCTGCTGCTGAAGCACTAGGGCAGTGACTAAATCTCAAGCAAAGGGGAGGGGGGACCATATAGACATCCCAAGGGAGCTGTAAGCCCTACCCCATGTCTAGGTGATTGAATCCCACGTTGTGTCTTGTTTTATGGTCTCGCAAGGGAAGGGGGAAAATCCCAAATCCAGGTGAGTTCTGTGATTTCTTGCAATCAACTTGTCTGTAATATGTATTTTTAAGTCAGAAAAGTGCAATTGATGGGGGGAGGTTCTGTGCAGGGCTATTTGTGGGGGCATGGGTACCATTGCAAAAAAAAAACCCACCTCAGTTTTTTTTCTGTGCACTGAGTTGTCTATAAGCTTGATTATTATTTGTTGGAGGGGCGGTTGCGTGTGAAAAATCCTTACAGAGCTAGACTTGACTGCAGAACGATTATCAGACAGTGTTGATTCCCCTTCATATACAGATGTTGGAGGGGGTGTGTGTCTGGTGTGGAGGGGAAGAAGCAACTGAGATGTGGATTTATTCTAGTTTGGTGCCTTTTGAAAAAAAATGCTTGATGCATTTCAAAAGAGCTGATTTATAGGGGAATAAGATAGTGACTTAATTTAGTTGTTTTGGAATACTTTATTGCCTTTTTTTCTTGTGTTTAAAAGAACAAATGGATGATATATTTTAAATAGCAGACTTACTACATATGTGAAATGCTTTCTTTTCCTTTCCCTATACCTTCAGGATAGCATATTAGAAATAACCACCGTAGTAGGCTCAATCATGTTATAATATGTGTGTAAAAATAAAAATAAATGCACAACACACATTTCACATTTCTATGTCAGTATTCTTTTTAGCCAGTCACAGGATGTTTAAGTCTGATTTGTTTTATTAAGAATATTCTCTTTTTTAAATATGGTTAATTCTGAGTGTCACTGAGTTGTCTGAAAAAGTGAACATCTGTAGATCTTTTTTAAAAACTCCATTGCAACTTTCAGCACACAGTAACAAATAATAAGTAGTAATTTGATTGTACTTCCCTGGGATACAGTGTTCAGTAACAAATAACTGGAGGGAATCCTGGTACAATTTGCCATCTCAATGATGAAAATAACAGCAAATGTGATTGACCTTAATTTGCTATTGCTTAATGATGCCAAGGTGCTATGAGATAGGAGTGTTTCTGGCTGGTGAGAGAGATCTGGGACTGGTGATGGAAAAGGGAAAACATAATTTTTTGGGGGGCCAGGGCTATTGTGTGTATTGTGGGTTTTTGTTAGATCAGTTCCTTGCCTCTTTCAGGGGAAAAAGTGACTTGAATTGTGTAACTGGCTCTTAGCTATTTCAACTATTTCAGATTTATTTTTGATTAGTGTGAATGAACATATACTTTTAAACCAACAGCTGGACTAAATGCTATAGACAGATATACCCAATCTTAACTATTGAGATATCTTTTTGTGATCCACTTGGTTTTTCTGTTCTCATAAATAGAAGAAATGTGGGTGTTTTTAAAATTAACTCTGGAATCCAACACAGCTTCACAATGCAGTCCTCATTTTCTTTGGAGACAGTGCAGAGGGTCCTTTTCCCAGTTCTCTCCTTAGCTCTGTGGGGAAAGTCACTTGCTTCAGTTTCCTAATCTGTAAAATGGGGATAATGCCTGCTTTTGTTAAGTGCTTTGAGATGTTTGCATGAATAGTGCTACCATAACAAGCTGCAAAATATTATTTATTCTTTTCTAAAACTATATCATCACTGCAATTACAAGTATACTCCAGAGAAATCTACTTTCTGTTATATAATACGAGCTTAGCAGCACACACACAGCTTTGTTTCGCTGCAGAATTTGTAGCGTCTCCCATCTGGGTCCCTTCAAAGTTTATCTACTCCAAGGACTGAATCTCTTTGGGGCACAGGAAGTGTGTGTGCAGCTGAGCTCATTTTTTCCCCCACTGCTGCATATTTGCTTCTGCGTTACTCTTGTGTAACTGAGACTGTTTTGTCCTCTGGCAGACTTTCCTTGGAATTGCAGTGCTAAGGGATGTGTGACATGAGTGCAATGTGGACAATGAAACTCCCTGTTTCTTTTGATTAAAGTGTTTGTAAACACTAACACAATGGTTGTGGAGTCAGTGTGTAATGCAGAGAGCATTTTATGTGATCTTATCTTGCAACTAAATTCCTGAGGGGTAAACATTCCTCAGCTAAATCTCCTCCTTGTATTTTTTTATCTCTTCTTTTTCCTTCCTTCCTTGTTGCTAAGTTAAAGGAGAGGAACAGCAGTGCATGCAGTCCAGTTGCCCTTTGTTTTTTAGACTTTTATTTCCTGGAATGGCGTCCCTCTCCCCCTCTTTTTTCGGTCAAGGGAGTGAGTGCGTAATTTAATATACGGCTTCTCCTGTTGGCTATAAGAGAGGAACCTTTACAGCAATGATTTTGTAGGCTATGAAGAGCAAGCGCTGGAACTGCAGTGATAGTTTGAAAGTATATTCTGTAAATTAATGATATGTAAGTTATGCGAAACCTATATACCAGGGGATTTTGGTGTGTGTGTATGTACTACAGTTCCTTATCTAAATACCGTGCCTGTATATTTATTTTATGTATGCTTGTTTAATCATGTTGCTGTATTAATGAATTTCTCTAAATAGTAATGAGTTTGTCCAAAGTGTTCGCACTCTGGTGCTATACAATAATATAGCAATAATTAGAGTTAAAATGCACTTCAGAAATTCAGACACCAAGTAGCATGCAGACAAATGCAATATTCACTAGGATGTGTTGCAGTTTTTCCCTTGCAGTGGCAGAAATGTAAAAAGATTTGAAAGTTGGGCATTCAGGAGGTCATCTGTCACCATATATGAGAAACAAGGTGGGTGAGGTAATATCTTTTATTGGACCAACTTCTGTTGGCGAGAGAGACAAGCTTTCGAGCTTGATCTAGTAAAAGACATTACCTCACTCACCTTGTCTCTCTAATATCCTGGGACTGACACTATTACAACTACACTGCATACAACCATGAATGAGCAAAGTCAAGAACTATCAGGTCATTTCTCCTAAATAGCTGGTTTGTAGAAACTTACTTATGTCCCGATCCCACAAAGACTTAGGCATGTGCATTTACTCATGCAAATAATCCCACTAGGTTTAATGGGACTATTTGTGTGAACAAAATTATGCACAAGTCCACATGACTGCAAGATCAAGGCCTTATTTGCTAAGCATCAGCAATGAGGTATACACTGTATTGGAGGCAAAGTAAGATGGTCCTTAACTGCAACTGGGATCTACTAGCATGCACACATTCTGAATCCTACCCTGATGAGGAATTGGGGTCTAAATACAGAGACAAATAAGAAAAAGCGGACTTGGAGACCCGAGCAAAGTGCTGACATAGATTTGTTTCAAGTTTTGCTCTTTCTGTCTTCTCCTCTGCTACAGTGCTGTGTGAGAGAAGTTATTTGACTCACTTAGGCTAGTGTGGGGGGGGGGGGGACTTGTGGGAGAAATGAGCCTTTAGGAAAGATTTGAATGAAGAGAACTTGGTGCACTGGGACGTAAGTGGTTATTCATATAGGGGCCACTTGGAAGAAGATGAGAAAAATGAAGAGGGTGCTGAGTCTGGCATACCTGGTGTGCCTCTTTCTATTGTTCCTCGCATGAAACAGGTTTTTCCTCCATTTTTTTTTTGACCAATGTAACTCACTTGTGAGTGTGTATTACATGCCCCATTCCCCAGCCCCCTCTCCCCCCCACTAGTGCACGTGAAATGAGTCATGTACAGCTTGAGTGAGGGAGTCTTGCCTCTTTAACTGAAGCTGTAGCAACTCTTGTTTTTTGTTCTGGAAGTCCCCAGTTCAGTCTTAAGTGTGTTTAGTCAAGATGGCATCTGTCATTGGGAACTTCAGTCATCTGGTGTAACTGTAAGTTATGGTCTGTCTTATGCAGATTTATCTGCAGCTGTATTGTTTGTGTGCCAGGGGACCACTTACTTTTATTTTATGAGAAAAAATAAATAAATGAACAGTTACAATAGGCCTGATTCCACAGTGGAGATTTGGGTACAATCATTTTTGTTTTTAGTGGAAGATTTGCTTTTTTAGTAAATGGGTCCTAAAATATGAAAGCAAATGTTGCTGCTAATAGTTGCAGAAATGGCAGTCAGAAAATGTGTCTGAACCTACCTGGCTCACACAGGTGTGGTTTGTTTTTATGTGTGTGTCCAGATTACACGGATGTATGTGGCAATGTGAAAGTTAGAGAAAATATGCATCATAATATAAGTGTATTGATTATAGTACAACAGGAATTGCATAGGATGGTACAAGATAGGTTAAAACTGGGAGTAATGGGATAACATCTAAATCAGGGAAAATTGGGGCTGGATATCAGGCAAAACCTCTGAGAGTGATACTTACTTTTTGAGATTATTCCATTCTCATAAGTGGTGACAGCTCCATTACTAAATCACTAACTCAGTTGGAGAAAGCGTGAAAAGTAGATTATAGGAACCATTCTGCATTGATTGGGGGGGGAATGGACTAGATGACCTAAAAGTTCCTTTTTAGTGTCCAATTTCTATTATATCATCCTGCAGTAAATAAGTTAGTCAATTATTGACATAATTGGTGAGAGAAATTGTGCTGGTGTTTTAATGCATGTTTTATAGTATGAAAAATTGTTCTGTCATGTTTGTGATCTAAACATTTCCTGTACTATGATGCCTTTCAATTGGACCATGCTTTAAGTTTAAGTGAAATCGAACA